AACACATACACATCACGTGACAGCACATACACATCACGTGACAGCACACACACATCACGTGACAACACATACACATCACGTGACAACACACACACATCACGTAACAACACACACACAGCACGTGACAACACGTACACATCACGTGACAACACATACACATCATGTGACAGCACATACACATCACGTGACAGCACACACACATCACGTGACAACACACACATATCACGTAACAACACACACACAGCACGTGACAACACGTACACATCACGTGACAACACATACACATCACGTGACAGCACATACACATCACGTGACAGCACACACACATCACGTGACAACACTTACACATCACGTGACAACACACACAGCACGTGACAACACACATACAGCACGTGACAACACGTACACATCACGTGACAACACATACACATTACGTGACAACACACAAACATCACGTGACAGCACATACAGATCACGTGACAACACACACACACATCACGTGACAACACATACACATCACGTGACAACACACACACATCACGTGACAACACACATCATGTGACAACACATACACATCACGTGACAACACACACACATCACGTGACAACACACACACACACATCACGTGACAACACACACACATCACGTGGCAACACACACATCACGTGACAACACACACACATCACGTGACAACACACACATCACGTGACAACACACACACACACATCACGTGACAGCACATACACATCACGTGACAACACACACACATCACGTGACAACACATACACGTCACGTGACAACACACACACAGCACGTGACAGCACATACACATCACGTGACAGCACATACACATCACGTGACAACACACACACATCACGTGACAACACACACACATCACGTGACAGAACACACACATCACGTGACAGCACATACACATCACGTGACAACACATACACATCACGTGACAACACACACACAGCACGTGACAACACACACACAGCACGTGACAACACATACACATAACGTGACAGCACATCCACATCACGTGACAGCACACACACATCACGTGACAACACACACACATCACGTGACAACACATACACATCACGTGACAGCACATACACATCACGTGACAGCACGCACACATCACGTGACAACACACATCACGTGACAACACGTACACATCACGTGACAACACACACACAGCACGTGACAACACGTACACATCACGTGACAACACATACACATCACGTGACAGCACATACACATCACGTGACAGCACACACACATCACGTGACAACACATACACATCACGTGACAACACACACACATCACGTAACAACACACACACAGCACGTGACAACACGTACACATCACGTGACAACACATACACATCATGTGACAGCACATACACATCACGTGACAGCACACACACATCACGTGACAACACACACATATCACGTAACAACACACACACAGCACGTGACAACACGTACACATCACGTGACAACACATACACATCACGTGACAGCACATACACATCACGTGACAGCACACACACATCACGTGACAACACATACACATCACGTGACAAAACACACAGCACGTGACAACACACATACAGCACGTGACAACACGTACACATCACGTGACAACACATACACATTACGTGACAACACAAACATCACGTGACAGCACATACAGATCACGTGACAACACACACACACACATCACGTGACAACACATACACATCACGTGACAACACACACACATCACGTGACAACACACATCATGTGACAACACATACACATCACGTGACAACACACACACAGCACGTGACAACACACACACATCACGTGACAACACACACACATCACGTGACAACACACACATCACGTGACAACACATACACATCACGTGACAACACACACACATCACGTGACAACACACACACACACATCACGTGACAACACACACACATCACGTGGCAACACACACATCACGTGACAACACACACACATCACGTGACAACACACACATCACGTGACAGCACATACACATCACGTGACAACACACACACACATCACGTGACAGCACATACACATCACGTGACAACACACACACACATCACGTGACAACACATACACATCACGTGACAACACACACACAGCACGTGACAGCACATACACATCGCGTGACAGCACATACACATCACGTGACAACACACACACATCACGTGACAACACACACACATCACGTGACAGCACATACACATCACGTGACAGCACATACACATCACGTGACAACACATACACATCACGTGACAGCACATAAACATCACGTGACAACACATACACATCACGTGACAGCACATACACATCACGTGACAACACATATATATCACGTGACAACACATACACATCACGTGACAACACACACACACATCACGTGACAGCACATACACATCACGTGACAGCACATACACATCACGTGACAACACATACACATCACGTGACAACACACACACATCACGTGACAGCACATCCACATCACGTGACAACACATACACATCACGTGACAACACACACACACATCACGTGACAACACACACACATCACGTGACGACACATACACATCACGCGACAACACACACACATCACCTGACAACACACACACACACACATCACGTGACAACACACACACATCACGTGACAACACACACACATCACGTGACAACACATACACATCACGTGACGACACATACACAGTACGTGACAACACACACACATCACGTGACAACACACACACACACATCACGTGACAACACACACACATCACATGACAACAAACACATCACGTGACAACACATACATATCACGTGACAACACACACACATCACGTGACAACACACACATATCACGTGACAACACACACACATCACGTGACAACACACACATCACGTGACAACACTTACACATCACGTGACAACACACACATATCACGTGACAACACACACATCACGTGACAACACACACATCACGTGACAGCACATACACATCACGTGACAACACACACACATCACGTGACAACACACACACACATCACGCGACAGCACATACACATCACGTGACAGCACGTACACATCACGTGACAACACACACACATCACGTGACAACACACACACACATCACGTGACAACACACACACATCACGTGACAACACACACACACACATCACGTGACAATACATACACATCACGTGACGACACATACACAGTACGTGACAACACACACACATCACGTGACAACACACACACACACATCACGTGACAACACACACACATCACATGACAACAAACACATCACGTGACAACACATACACATCACGTGACAACACACACACATCACGTGACAACACACACATATCACGTGACAACACACACACATCACGTGACAACACACACATCACGTGACAACACTTACACATCACGTGACAACACACATATATCACATGACAACACACACACATCACGTGACAACACACACACATCACGTGACATCACATACACATCACGTGACAACACACACACATCACGTGACAACACACACACACATCACGCGACAGCACATACACATCACGTGACAGCACGTACACATCACGTGACAACATACACACATCACGTGACAACACATACACATCACGTGACAACACATACACATCACGTGACAACACATACACATCACGTGACAACACATACACATCACGTGACAACACATACACAGCACGTGACAACACACACACAGCACGTGACAGCACATACACATCACTTGACAACACACACACACATCACGTGACAACACACACACATCACGTGACAACACACACACAGCACGTGACAACACACACAGCACGTGACAACACGTACACATCACGTGACAACACACACACATCACGTGACAACACATACACATCACGTGACAACACACACAGCACGTGACAACACACACACAGCACGTGACAGCACATACACATCACTTGACAACACACACACATCACGTGACAACACATACACATCACGTGACAACACACACAGCACGTGACAACACACACACAGCACGTGACAGCACATACACATCACTTGACAACACACACACGCATCACGTGACAACACACACACATCACGTGACAACACACACACAGCACGTGACAACACACACAGCACGTGACAACACATACACATCACGTGAGAACACACACACAGCACGTGACAACACATACACATCACGTGACAACACATACACATCAAGTGACAGCACACACACATCACGTGACAACACATACACATCACGTGACAACACACACACACAGCACGTGACAACACACACACACAGCACGTGACAACACATACACATCACGTGACAGCACATACACATCACATGACAACACATACATATCACGTGACAACACACAAACATAACGTGACAGCACATACACATCACGTGACAACACATACATATCACGTGGCAACACATACACATCACGTGACAACACACACACATCACGTGACAACACATACACATCACGTGACAGCACACACACATCACGTGACAACACACACACATCACGTGACAGCACACACACATCACGTGACAACACACACACACACATCACGTGACAACACATACACATCACGTGACAACACATACACATCACGTGACAACACACACATCACGTGACAACACATACACAGCACGTGACAACACCCCACCACGCTGTCAAGCCCCAATGGTTTAAAATGCGTGGCGGCCCTCGCTCACGCTGATGATGTCTTATCGGCGAAAGTTGCTCCCCTCTGTAAATGAGTGAAGTTCCCCGGTGTATGTCGTGTCCTTGTGTTGTGTATTCATTGTGTCTATGTGATGTACGCACAGGACAGCTCTCGACCTTGCGGTGCCCCTCTGCCAGTTCCCGACAGAGTTGTGCCCTCCGTGCGAGCGCAGGGAGTTCGCGTGGCGGGACCCGGACCTCCCCGAGGTCATTCAGATGCTGCAGCACGAGTTTCCCTCCGTGCAGGCGAACGCCGCCGCGTACCTGCAGCACGTGTGCTTTGGGGATGACTTAGTCAAGGCCCAGGTGAGTCCTGGAGGGTGCGGGTGACCCGGTGGTGGCCCTGTTGGCGGGCTGACACGCGTGCGTCAGGCGGAGTTGATCGCAAGGTGAAGAGCGTCTCTGGAGTCGTGATATGGGGGGCGTCTGAGACTGAAGAGTCGATCTCTGGGGTTCGGCGAGCAGTTGGGGAAGGAGAATGTCTCTAGGGTGGGATAGTGGGTTTATGGGATTGAACAGGGGGTCTCTAGGGTGGGATAGTGGGTTTATGGGATTGAACAGGGGGTCTCTAGGGTGGGATAGTGGGTTTATGGGATTGAACAGGGGGTCTCTAGGGTGGGATAGTGGGTTTATGGGATTGAACAGCGGGTTTCTAGGGTGGGATAGTGGGTTTATGGGATTGAACAAGGGGTCTCTAGGGTGAGATAGTGGGTTTATGGGATTGAACAGGGGGTCTCTAGGGTGGGATAGTGGGTTTATGGGATTGAACAGGGGGTCTCTAGGGTGGGATAGTGGGTTTATGGGATTGAACAGGGGGTTTCTAGGGTGGGATAGTTGGTTTATGGGATTGAACAAGGGGTCTCTAGGGTGGGATAGTGGGTTTATGGGATTGAACAGGGGGTCTCTATGGTGGGATAGTGGGTTTATGGGATTGAACAGGGGGTCTCTAGGGTGGGATAGTGGGTTTATGGGATTGAACAGGGGGTTTCTAGGGTGGGATAGTGGGTTTATGTGATTGAACAGGGGGTCTCTAGGGTGGGATAGTGGGTTTATGGGATTGAACAGGGGGTCTCTAGGGTGGGATAGTGGGTTTATGGATTGAACAGGGGGTTTCTAGGGTGGGATAGTGGGTTTATGGGATTGAACAAGGGGTCTCTAGGGTTGGATAGTGGGTTTATGGGATTGAACAGGGGGTTTCTAGGGTGGGATAGTGGGTTTATGGGATTGAACAGGGGTCTCTAGGGTAGGATAGTGGGTTTATGGGATTGAACAGCGGGTCTCTAGGGTGGGATAGTGGGTTTATGGGATTGAACAGCGGGTCTTTAGGGTGGATAGTGGATTTATGGGATTGAACAGGGGGTATTTAGGGTGGGATAGTGGGTTTATGGGATTGAACAGGGGGTCTTTAGGGTGGGATAGTGGATTTATGGGTTTGAGCAGGGGGTCTCTAGGGTGGGATAGTGGGTTTATGGGATTGAACAGGGGGTCTCTAGGGTGGGATAGTGGGTGTATGGGATTGACAGGGGGTCTCTAGGGTGGGATAGTGGGTTTATGGGATTGAAGCAGGGGGTCTCTAGGGTGGGATAGTGGGTTTGTGGGATTGAGCAGCGGGTCTCTATGGTGGGATAGTGGGTTTATGGGATTGAGCAGGGGGTCTCTAGGGTGGGTAGTGGGTTATGGGATTGAACAGGGGGTCTCTAGGGTGGGATAGTGGGTTTATGGGGGATTGAACAGGGGGGTCTCTAGGGTGGGATAGTGGGTTTATGGGGATTGAACAGGGGGTCTCTAGGGTGGGATAGTGGGTTTATGGGATTGAACAGGGGGTTTCTAGGGTGGGATAGTGGGTTTCTGGGATTGAACAAGGGGTCTCTAGGGTGAGATAGTGGGTTTATGGGATTGAACAGGGGGTCTCTAGGGTGGGATAGTGGGTTTATGGGATTGAACAGGGGGTCTCTAGGGTGGGATAGTGGGTTTATGGGATTGAACAAGGGTGTCTAGGGTGGGATAGTGGGTTTATGGGATTGAACAAGGGGTCTCTAGGGTGGGATAGTGGGTTTATGGGATTGAACAGGGGGTCTCTATGGTGGATAGTGGGTTTATGGGATTGAACAGGGGGTCTCTAGGGTGGGATAGTGGGTTTATGGGATTGAACAGGGGGTTTCTAGGGTGGGATAGTGGGTTTATGGGATTGAACAGGGGGTCTCTAGGGTGGGATAGTGGGGTTTATGGGATTGAACAGGGGGTCTCTAGGGTGGGATAGTGGGTTTATGGGATTGAACAGGGGGTTTCTAGGGTGGGATAGTGGTTTATGGGATTGAACAAGGGGTCTCTAGGGTTGGATAGTGGGTTTATGGGATTGAACAGGGGGTTTTCTAGGGTGGGATAGTGGGTTTATGGGATTGAACAGGGGTCTCTAGGGTAGGATAGTGGGTTTATGGGATTGAACAGCGGGTCTCTAGGGTGGGATAGTGGGTTTATGGGATTGAACAGCGGGTCTTAGGGTGGGATAGTGGATTTATGGGATTGAACAGGGGGTATTTAGGTGGGATAGTGGGTTTATGGGATTGAACAGGGGGTCTTTAGGGTGGGATAGTGGATTTATGGGTTTGAGCAGGGGGTCTCTAGGGTGGGATAGTGGGTTTATGGGATTGAACAGGGGGTCTCTAGGGTGGGATAGTGGGTGTATGGGATTGAACAGGGGGTCTCTAGGGTGGGATAGTGGGTTTATGAGATTGAGCAGGGGGTCTCTAGGGTGGGATAGTGGGTTTGTGGGATTGAGCAGCGGGTCTCTAGGGTGGGATAGTGGGTTTATGGGATTGAGCAGGGGGTCTCTAGGGTGGGATAGTGGGTTTATGGGATTGAGCAGGGGGTCTTTAGGGTTGGATAGTGGGTTTATGGGATTGAGCAGGGGGTCTTTAGGGTTGGATAGTGGGTTTATGGGATTGAACAGCGGGTCTCTAGGGTTGGATAGTGGATTTATGGGATTGAACAGCGGGTCTTTAGGGTGGGATAGTGGATTTATGGGATTGAACAGGGGGTATTTAGGGTGGGATAGTGGGTTTATGGGATTGAACAGGGGGTCTTTAGGGTGGGATAGTGGATTTATGGGTTTGAGCAGGGGGTCTCTAGGGTGGGATAGTGGGTTTATGGGATTGAACAGGGGGTCTCTAGGGTGGGATAGTGGGTGTATGGGATTGAACAGGGGGTCTCTAGGGTGGGATAGTGGGTTTATGAGATTGAGCAGGGGGTCTCTAGGGTGGGATAGTGGGTTTGTGGGATTGAGCAGCGGGTCTCTAGGGTGGGATAGTGGGTTTATGGGATTGAGCAGGGGGTCTCTAGGGTGGGATAGTGGGTTTATGGGATTGAGCAGGGGGTCTTTAGGGTTGGATAGTGGGTTTATGGGATTGAGCAGGGGGTCTTTAGGGTTGGATAGTGGGTTTATGGGATTGAACAGCGGGTCTCTAGGGTTGGATAGTGGATTTATGGGATTGAGCAGCGGGTCTCTAGGGTGGGATAGTGGGTTTATGGGATTGAGCAGGGGGTCTCAAGGGTGGGATAGTGGGTTTATGGGATTGAACAGGGGGTCTTTAGGGTTGGATAGTGGGTTTATGGGATTGAACAGCGGGTCTCTAGGGTTGGATAGTGGGTTTATGGGATTGAGCAGCGGGTCTCTAGGGTGGGATAGTGGGTTTATGGGATTGAGCAGGGGGTCTCAAGGGTGGGATAGTGGGTTTATGGGATTGAGCAGGGGGTCTCTAGGGTGGGATAGTGGGTTTATGGGATTGAGCAGCGGGTCTCTAGGGTGGGATAGTGGGTTTATGGGATTGAGCAGGGGGTCTCAAGGGTGGGATAGTGGGTTTATGGGATTGAGCAGGGGGTCTCTAGGGTGGGATAGTGGGTTTATGGGATTGAACAGCGGGTCTCTAGGGTTGGATAGTGGGTTTATTGGATTGAGCAGCGGGTTTCTAGGGTGGGATAGTGGGTTTATGTGATTGAGCAGGGGGTCTCAAGGGTGGGATAGTGGGTTTATGGGATTGAGCAGGGGGTCTCTAGGGTGGGATAGTGGGTTTATGGGATTGAGCAGGGGGTCTCAAGGGTGGGATAGTGGGTTTATGGGATTGAGCAGGGGGTCTCTAGGGTGGGATAGTGGGTTTATGGGATTGAGCAGGGGGTCTCTAGGGTGGGATAGTGGGTTTATGGGATTGAACAGGGGGTTTCTAGGGTGGGATAGTGGGTTTATGGGATTGAACAGGGGTCTCTAGGGTAGGATAGTGGGTTTATGGGATTGAACAGCGGGTCTCTAGGGTGGGATAGTGGGTTTATGGGATTGAACAGCGGGTCTTTAGGGTGGGATAGTGGATTTATGGGATTGAACAGGGGGTATTTAGGGTGGGATAGTGGGTTTATGGGATTGAACAGGGGGTCTTTAGGGTGGGATAGTGGATTTATGGGTTTGAGCAGGGGGTCTCTAGGGTGGGATAGTGGGTTTATGGGATTGAACAGGGGGTCTCTAGGGTGGGATAGTGGGTGTATGGGATTGAACAGGGGGTCTCTAGGGTGGGATAGTGGGTTTATGGGATTGAGCAGGGGGTCTCTAGGGTGGGATAGTGGGTTTGTGGGATTGAGCAGCGGGTCTCTAGGGTGGGATAGTGGGTTTATGGGATTGAGCAGGGGGTCTCTAGGGTGGGATAGTGGGTTTATGGGATTGAACAGGGGGTCTCTAGGGTGGGATAGTGGGTTTATGGGATTGAACAGGGGGTTTCTAGGGTGGGATAGTGGGTTTATGGGATTGAACAAGGGGTCTCTAGGGTGAGATAGTGGGTTTATGGGATTGAACAGGGGGTCTCTAGGGTGGGATAGTGGGTTTATGGGATTGAACAGGGGTCTCTAGGGTGGGATAGTGGGTTTATGGGATTGAACAGGGGGTTTCTAGGGTGGGATAGTGGGTTTATGGGATTGAACAAGGGGTCTCTAGGGTGGGATAGTGGGTTTATGGGATTGAACAGGGGGTCTCTATGGTGGGATAGTGGGTTTATGGGATTGAACAGGGGGTCTCTAGGGTGGGATAGTGGGTTTATGGGATTGAACAGGGGGTTTCTAGGGTGGGATAGTGGGTTTATGGGATTGAACAGGGGGTCTCTAGGGTGGGATAGTGGGTTTATGGGATTGAACAGGGGGTCTCTAGGGTGGGATAGTGGGTTTATGGGATTGAACAGGGGGTTTCTAGGGTGGGATAGTGGGTTTATGGGATTGAACAAGGGGTCTCTAGGGTTGGATAGTGGGTTTAAGGGATTGAACAGGGGGTTTCTAGGGTGGGATAGTGGGTTTATGGGATTGAACAGGGGTCTCTAGGGTAGGATAGTGGGTTTATGGGATTGAACAGCGGGTCTCTAGGGTGGGATAGTGGGTTTATGGGATTGAACAGCGGGTCTTTAGGGTGGGATAGTGGATTTATGGGATTGAACAGGGGGTATTTAGGGTGGGATAGTGGGTTTATGGGATTGAACAGGGGGTCTTTAGGGTGGGATAGTGGATTTATGGGTTTGAGCAGGGGGTCTCTAGGGTGGGATAGTGGGTTTATGGGATTGAACAGGGGGTCTCTAGGGTGGGATAGTGGGTGTATGGGATTGAACAGGGGGTCTCTAGGGTGGGATAGTGGGTTTATGAGATTGAGCAGGGGGTCTCTAGGGTGGGATAGTGGGTTTGTGGGATTGAGCAGCGGGTCTCTAGGGTGGGATAGTGGGTTTATGGGATTGAGCAGGGGGTCTCTAGGGTGGGATAGTGGGTTTATGGGATTGAGCAGGGGGTCTTTAGGGTTGGATAGTGGGTTTATGGGATTGAGCAGGGGGTCTTTAGGGTTGGATAGTGGGTTTATGGGATTGAACAGCGGGTCTCTAGGTGGATAGTGGATTTATGGGATTGAGCAGCGGGTCTCTAGGGTGGGATAGTGGGTTTATGGGATTGAGCAGGGGGTCTCAAGGGTGGGATAGTGGGTTTATGGGATTGAACAGGGGGTCTTTAGGGTTGGATAGTGGGTTTATGGGATTGAACAGCGGGTCTCTAGGGTTGGATAGTGGGTTTATGGGATTGAGCAGCGGGTCTCTAGGGTGGGATAGTGGGTTTATGGGATTGAGCAGGGGGTCTCAAGGGTGGGATAGTGGGTTTATGGGATTGAGCAGGGGGTCTCTAGGGTGGGATAGTGGGTTTATGGGATTGAGCAGCGGGTCTCTAGGGTGGGATAGTGGGTTTATGGGATTGAGCAGGGGGTCTCAAGGGTGGGATAGTGGGTTTATGGGATTGAGCAGGGGGTCTCTAGGGTGGGATAGTGGGTTATGGGATTGAACAGCGGGTCTCTAGGGTTGGATAGTGGGTTTATGGGATTGAGCAGCGGGTTTCTAGGGTGGGATAGTGGGTTTATGGGATTGAGCAGGGGGGTCTCAAGGGTGGGATAGTGGGTTTATGGGATTGAGCAGGGGGTCTCTAGGGTGGGATAGTGGGTTTATGGGATTGAGCAGGGGGTCTCTAGGGTGGGATAGTGGGTTTATGGGATTGAGCAGGGGGTCTCTAGGGTGGGATAGTGGGTTTATGAGATTGAACAGCGGGTCTCTAGGGTTGGATAGTGGGTTTATGGGATTGAGCAGCGGGTTTCTAGGTTGGGATAGTGGGTTTATGGGATTGAGCAGGGGGTCTCAAGGGTGGGATAGTGGGTTTATGGGATTGAGCAGCGGGTCTCTAGGGTGGGATAGTGGGTTTATGGGATTGAGCAGGGGGTCTCAAGGGTGGGATAGTGGGTTTATGGGATTGAGCAGGGGGTCTCTAGGGTGGGATAGTGGATTTATGGGATTGAGCAGCGGGTCTCTAGGATTGGATAGTGGATTTATGGGATTGAGCAGCGGGTCTCTAGGGTGGGATAGTGGGTTTATGGATTGAGCAGGGGGTCTCAAGGGTGGGATAGTGGGTTTATGGGATTGAGCAGGGGGTCTCTAGGGTGGGATAGTGGGTTTATGGGATTGAGCAGCGGGTCTCTAGGATTGGATAGTGGATTTATGGGATTGAGCAGCGGGTCTCTAGGGTGGGATAGTGGGTTTATGGGATTGAGCAGGGGGTCTCAAGGGTGGGATAGTGGGTTTATGGGATTGAGCAGGGGGTCTCTAGGGTGGGATAGTGGGTTTATGGGATTGAGCAGGGGGTCTCAAGGGTGGGATAGTGGGTTTATGGGATTGAGCAGGGGGTCTTTAGGGTTGGATAGTGAGTTTATGGGATTGAACAGGGGGTCTCTAGGGTGGGATAGTGGGTTTATGGGATTGAGCAGGGGGTCTTTAGAGTTGGATAGTGGGTTTATGGGATTGAGCAGGGGGTCTTTAGGGTTGGATAGTGGGTTTATGGGATTGAACAGGGGGTCTCTAGGGTGGGATAGTGGGTTTATGGGATTGAGCAGGGGGTCTTTAGGGTTGGATAGTGGGTTTATGGGATTGAACAGGGGGTCTCTAGGGTGGGATAGTGGGTTTATGGGATTGAACAGGGGGTCTCTAGGGTGGGATAGTGGGTTTATGGGATTGAACAGGGGGTCTCTAGGGTGGGATAGTGGGTTTATGGATTGAACAGGGGGTCTCTAGGGTGGGATAGTGGGTTTATGGGATTGAACAGGGGGTCTCTAGGGTTGGGGCAGAGGTCTATTGAGTTGACAGAGTTGTGATGCCGGGCGGAGATGGAGACACGTGGTGGTGGTGGTGGTCCCGCTGTCTCGGATGGCTGTTCCCAAGTAGCGATAAACGGCATGGCGAGAGCATGGTGCGGGTGTGAACGCGTGAATCGCTGCTCACAGCAGCGTTGAGCCGAGACGCCTCCGTGTTCCGCATGCTTATTTGTGGCTCGGCTAGGGAGAGCGTCGTGCTGGCTTCCGTCAGTCTCATCTCGGTGTCACGAACAACAGCACTCTTAGCATATCCGGGAACAGCCTCAAGGAACTCGGTAACCGTTGAGCAGAGTTCCGGGAAGACGCCGTCGTGTGGATACGTTGCCAGGGTTTTGTGCCCGCGTACCCCGTGTAGGCAACTCACCTGAGCTCGCTCGGGCTCACCTGAGCTCACCCGCGCGCAGGTGCGTCGCCTGGGCGGGGTGCCGCTGCTCGTGGAGCTGCTGGATCACCGCGTGGCCGAGGTTCATCGTGGGGCCTGCGGGGCCCTGCGCAACCTCGTGTACGGCCGCGCCAACGACGACAACAAAGTGGCGGCACGCAGCTGCATGGGCATCCCGGCCCTGGTGCGGCTCCTGCGCAAGTCTGCCGATCCCGAGACGCGAGAGCTCGTCACGGGTACGTTCTCGTCCTCATTACCGCGTCCCACAGAGCTGCTGGTGATTGACAGCGGAGATGAATCTCACCGCATCCACCTCGTGCGCCTTGGTCACTCGCACCGCGCAAGTGTGGAGCTGATAAGAGTGTGGAGCCCTGGGAAAGTTATGCCGGTTATCTTTTCGATCCGCGTGTATGTTCATGACATTTCGGTTGGGTTTATTTTCCGATTTCTATTGCTTCATTGCTGTGACTTTGTTTTTACGTTGTTGCTTTTGTCATTTTGGTGACCCCGGCTCACTCTTGCAATTGAGACTCATCCTGGTCTCTCGAGCTCTCACCCCGTTGCACAAAATAAACTTGTGAGCAATCCACCGAGGGACGCGCACCAGCGCACCACACACTGGTCGAGCGTGCCCGTAGCGAGAGGGAGACGCCGGACTGAGCCGTCCTGCTCGTCCCACAGGGGTGCTGTGGAACCTGTCCTCGTGCGACTCGCTCAAGATGCCCATCATCCAGGACGCGCTGGCGGCGCTCACACACCTCGTGCTGATGCCACAGCTGCCGGGTTCGGGCCCCGTGCTGCACGACCTGACGGACGCGGGCCCTGCGGGACACACGCTCACCAACACCACGGGCTGCCTCCGGTAACGGCCGCCGCGGGCACCGGGTGCGATTGACGCCGGACGCGGGAGCGCGGTCGTCTTGGCGCAGTGCCGACCCCCGCTTTCCCGTGTCGCAGGAACGTGAGCTCGGCGGGCGAGGACGCGCGCAAGCGAATGCGGGAGTGCGAGGGGCTGGTGGAGGCGCTGCTCGGCATTATCCGCTCCGCGCTTGGCACCAGCGGCGTTAACAGCAAGGTGAGCGCCGCGGCCGGCGCGACCCGCGCAATCGGGGATCCACGCCCGCGTGGGGGGGTAGGGGGCTGTGGCGGGGCTCCGAGGCTCGCGCCCTCACCCAGACCGGGCGTGCCGTGCGCGCGTGCGCAGGTGGTGGAGAACGCGGTGTGCGTGCTGCGCAACCTCTCGTACCGCCTGGAGGCGGAGACTCGGCAGGGCCGCCAGACGCGCGGCGAGGACGAGCGCGGCTCCACGCCGGGTGGACGCGGCGCCGCCTCCAAAGACGACTCCAGCTGCTGGGGCCGGCGGCGCAGGAAAAAACAGCCCGACGCCGAGGTATGGCTGCCACTCGCGGGCGGCCCCAACACGAACACGGGTTGCGTGCCCCGAGTCTGTGCTTGCGTGCGTGTGCCTGCGTGTGCCTGCGTGTGCCTGCGTAAAGCGAGCTCGGCGCTCTCGTGTAACCGAGTACATCCAGATCCAGGCAAATCGTTTCTGAGTCTCGAGACTTTTCCAGCAAGGCCCTGCATGAGGATGTGTAGCCATTGTATTATTGCGCTTTCAAGCAGTTGTACTCACGCATACGAGGATATAACACTCGCACATCCACACAGACGGGCTTAGCAACACCCTGGCTGTACGGCCAGAGCCACGTCGTGATGGTCGTCGGGTCGACGCACCGCGCCGCACGGGGTACAACGCGGGTCCGTGGGAGTCCCCCCCAACCCCCCCCCCCCCCGCCATTTGTTCGGTTGCGCAGTGGGACGGCGCGGGGCCCCTGCCGGACTCGGGGGAGCAGCCCCGTGGGGCCGAGCTTCTCTGGCACCCGAACGTGGCCAAGCCGTACCTGGCGCTGCTCGCCGAGTGCTCCAACCCCGACACCCTCGAGGGGTCGGCCGGCGCGCTGCAAAACCTGGCGGCCGGATCCTGGAAGGTGGGCGGCTGTCGCCGACACACAACTGTTTTATTATTGATGAATGTAGTGGTAAGCGCAACGCGCTACGATGCGAGTTCGATTCCCGATCATGGCCAACACCGGTAACAATTATCTGAACCAGTCTTGGGCCTTCCCTAGGTCGACCCGGTCTTAAATGAGTACCTGGTGCGGTGTTTCAACATCGCCTCGAGGGAGACGAAGGCGGCCGGGTGTAGTGCTGGTCCCGCTCGTGCCATGCCGGCTTTCATAGCTGCTCGCTGACCCAACAAGTTCTTAAGGCTATGCGGGGTGGGGGGGGGGGGGGGGCTCTTTGTCTACGCAGTGGGCAGCGTACGTGCGCGCCGCCGTGCGCAAGGAGAAGGGGCTGCCCATCCTGGTGGAGCTGCTGCGCGTGCAGAGCGAGCGCGTCGTCTGCGCCGTGGCCACCGCCCTGCGCAACATGGCCCTGGACGCACGCAACAAGGAGCTCATCGGTGCGCATGGCCTCCACACAAACTCTCGGGAGTTTAATCAAACCAGAAAACATTTCACACAGGTGACCCCTCGTGGTGCCACCGTGCCCCCCCTGCTCCACGGATCCACCACGACATTGTTCCATCCACCATGAATCTTTGGTGCGGACCGCCTGAAATATGCTGCCACTGAGTGGGTGCGTGCGTGTGCGTGCGTGCGTGTGCGTGCGTGCGTGGGTCTTCCTGTGCAGGTAAGTACGCCCTGCGGGACCTGGTGCAGCGTCTGCCGAACGCCCCGGGCCCTGTGCCGGCGGGAGAGGGAGTCGGGGCCCCCATTGCGTCGGACCCGAGTGTGGCGGCCGTGTGCTGCGCGCTGCACGAGGTGATCAGCAAGAATTTGGAGAACGCCAAGGCACTGTGCGACGCGGGCGGCATCGGTCGACTGGTGGGCATCACGCGTGGCAAGGCTGGCAGGTGCGAGCCGCGTGCCCGTGTCCCCACCGTCTGTATCCCCAGGTTCCCGTGCCCTCAAGCCATTACGTAGATCTCAATCCCCGAAGCTCGAGGCTGAGGTTTAAAGTTGAATGTCAGACGTTTTGTGCCATAAGACCTCCTCGTGCAGGCCGTTCGAGAACAAAGGCCTCGATGAGCTCGCTATGGGGGCCGCGGCGGTGCATGGCTGCTGTGCAGCGTGTGTGTGCGTGGCCGTGCGGGGAACAGGCACTCCCCGAAGGTGGTGCGTGCGGCAGCCCAGGTGCTCAACACGCTGTGGCAGTACCGTGAGCTCCGGGGCCTCTACAAGAAGGTGAGTGTCCTGCTTGTGCCCGCTGGACGCTTTGTTCCAAACGCAGGCGGCAGCGGTCCTATTAGCGCTGCCATGCAGAGGGTTCGCGGTGTTTGCGGCCGCTCGTAATTGCGAGTATAGTTTTTTGAGTTGGGCTGTGGGAATTACTCAATACGGTCCAACCTGGAAACTCGCATGTGGACATGGAGGTTGTTGTAAAGGCTTCTGTGTTCCCCAGGAACGGGACTCGTGGCTCAAGGCAGTCCCAGCGGCAAACGGCTCACGCTCGGTATTAATGGCGATCCTTGAGAGCAAGAAGCGTGTGTAGAAGCGGATGACTTTGCTCTGTGTGGTGCCATCAGCATTATCCTGTGAGATGATGTCCACTATGACGATGCTGTAGGCAGTTGTGGAGCTTTCCCTCGTCTGTTTGACTTATAACAACGCACTGATTATTTACCCAGTGTGAACACATGGAATAATGAATCTATGTATGTATTTCGCAACCGTACGTAGCCAACCGTGCTAATTGAAGGTGATGTTGGTTACCATGTGACAACCAATACCGCCCAAGACAAACTCCAATGCAGACAAAACTAAAGAACAGAAGGGGAATGCCATCGGATATCAAAGTTACATTGAAGCAAAACAAACCTACTAGGATTTGAAAGAGATCAGAAAATACTTTAACATTGGTAACAAAAATACATACAGCGAAATGCAGTATACTGACACGAATAGGCAGCAATAAACAGTGAAGAAGTCTGTTTTTCATTTGGGGAAAAAAGTAACATTGATGTCCATCAGTCTGTGGGTATTCTGGACCAAGTCCAGGCCTGGTTTCAACTCCTCAGCAGGTCGTTTTTTTATACATTCTGCTGGGTTGCCTGGTGTGATAGTAAAGTCCTTCTTGAACACTATGAGACCATTCAGTACAGTGCAAAATAACTAGCCAAGGTTGCCGATGCACTTACACCGTGTGCCATCATGTGCTTTGTCTTCTTTGCTTGCTTCGTGAGTAATTGTGCTCGGCCTGAACCGTTCTCACGTACAACGCATGCCCAAGCTCAGACATGTGTGGAGGCCGGGTCGCTGCACTCTATGGCTCAGGCTGTGCACCACCCACACACATTCCCCCTGGCCTGTGCCGTCAGGACGGCTGGGTACAGGGCGACTTCACTCCTCCGACATCCACCTCGGACTGGGAAAAGCACAAGTCGTCCTGCGAGACCCTCTCCTCGTCCCCGGCCAACCGTCGGCACTCCCCTCTCAGCCAATCAGGTACCACCGTCATGTCTCACGCTAAGCTGCCCAAGCAGCAGTGGCCCGGTGCAACGGAGCCGTGACGCTTGGGCAGCGAGGGAACTCAGGATCAAGCGCCTGAGCTGCGTTTCGCTGTCCGTGTTCCCAGTGGGCAGCGTGGGGTCTCCGCGAGAGGTGTTCCGAGCCACGGATGAGCGCAGGCCGCAAGCCGAGGGCGAGAAGCGGCGCAGCGTCTCCACGTCGCGCTGCCCACCCCCGGGCCGCCCCGAGCAGCCGGCCCCGCAGGAGGAGCCACGCGGAGGTACGCGGCATCACCGCCTCGCCCGTCGCGCCCGACCCAGCCGTACCCCACCACGTCCGATGAAACGCGCGTCCCGTCTGTGCGCGTGTGTCGCCTTCAGGGCGCAGCCAGTCGGCGTCCCGCATTCAGACCGTGGGCCCCTACCGCGCATACTCCATCCCCGCACCCGAGGAGGCTCCCCGGCACACGCAGGCGAGTGTGGCGTCGCGCGGCACCGCGCGGCCAATCGTCCTCGATGGCGGAGTCCTTCTCGGGATATTCTGAGTGGGAGCGTGATTGCTTTTTTGCCACCGTTTGGGTAATTTTCTCTCTGCGCCGTCGTCCTAGTCTCTCACGAAGCACGTCTGTGGTGTTTGCCCGGCCCAGTCGGCACCGGGAGAGCCGGCGGACCGAGATCGCACGACCCCGCGCGGCCCGGGAGGCTCCCCGCAGCGCTACCACGTGACCCTGGGCGTCGCCACCGCAGCCCCCAACCCGGGCGCGGGCAGGGTGCCGCGACCCGCTACCGCCCCCGATCACGCCGCCCGGCGCGACCTCAAGGCCAACGACAATTACGTAGACTTCTACTCGGCGGCGCGGCCGCCCTACAGCGTCTCCTCGTACGAGACGAGCCAGCTGCACAACTCACCCGACTCGTGGGTGTGAGCGAGGAGGCCGCCGCGCCGCCACGAGCGCCACACCGCCGCCACCCGCCACGCAGATCCCTGGCCGAGTGGGCCATCCTGCCCTACCTCGACCCCTCCTCCCGGCGACTCTGGCGAGCGCAAACTCTCCTTCCGGAGGCCGGAGCTATATTTTGACGACGGCGACGACCATGAAAGGGGTGGCCCACGCCCGCGGCGTGGCCCCGTCGACGGCGCCACCCACGCTCCTCGGCCGCCGTGCCCTGCCACGGGCGAAATCGTGGCCGCCGGTCTCATCGCTGTCCAAGACACGGCCCAAGTTGTTGTGCACATTTATTTTCCATGCCGTGTTTATGCAAATCACGCGCTCCCCCGCATGCCCCCCCACGAGTTCACACGCGCCGCCGTCTGCATGTGCACTTTGTCAACACGGACCGCCGCCGCCGCTGCTGTTTTCGCGTTACTTGAACTGCTGAAGCCAAACACGCGCCTGTAGCCGCCACGTGGCTCCCCCATCTCTCGCCAGGACGCGCCAAAGCCGCTCGCCTCATCTGCATCATGAATGGATGCACGTCGGTTCATCTGAGTCTGGAAGGGAAAGGCAGAAGCCAATGTCCATCGACCCTCCGTCACTCAAGCTGGTGCCCCCGTGTATCCGTCATAAAGGGCAGATCTGTCGGGAGTTTAATCCGTCAGATGTCCAATTGACACGGAGCTAGAAGGTGACAATGCCGACACACGTGTGGCGCACTGTTTCAACTCGAGTTTCGCTCAATACTGGCATTCGATACAGGTGGTGATGTCACATCGATAAACACGGGCACTAGCTATGATCTTTCTACCGACACTGCACCACCCTCTCCTCGCATCCCTCACCCCTCTCCCCCTGAACTTCCCTCCACCCTCCCACTCTCTCTCTGTCTCCCTGCTTCTATCTCCCCTCACTTCTCTCTCGCATGCTGTCTTGCCTCTCTGCATCCTCACTCTTTCCCCCTGCTTATATCTTCTCTCGCACCTCTCTCCATGCCTGCATGTGCTCAATTCCTGCATCTCTCTCACTCTATCTTCGCCTAACTCTCCCCCACCTCCATCCCTCCCTGCATCTCTACCCCTGCCTTTCTTCACGCATCTCTCCCCTCGTCTCTCTCCCTATGCCTCTCTGCCCCCTCCCTCAGCCTGCATCTCTATACTTGCCTCTCTCTCTCCCCCCCTACCTCTGTCGCTCCATCACCCATTCTTCCTCCCGCTGTGCACCACCCTGCCCCAATCTCCCCGCTGCTCCGCTCCCCACCGCACTCAAGAGATGCCGCCTCCGCCGGCTTCTGGAGCTGCTGTTCGCGGGGGCCTCCTCCGCCTCCTCCTCCTCCTCGCCGCCCGCCCTCGCACGGGTAGCCCTGAAGGGTTTGGTGCAGAACGCCGAGCGGGGTTTTTACACAAAGCAACTGGTTACCGTCACCACACGGGGCCGCTTCGGTGGGGAGGAACCCGGCAGACTCTGCCGCGATGCCGTGGCGTGCCGCCCCTCCCCCTCCGCCAGCCGTGGTCCTGCGCTGTCGTCTTGGTGGTTTTTGTATTCGCTTCCTCGGTGCGAGGTGTCGGGTTTGCAGGGTCCCCGCGGTTCACTCGCCCACAGCGGGTGTCCGTCTCCCCCCCCCTCTCAGCCCCCCCCCCCCCCCCCACTAGGGGGGTCATGCCCCGACGTGACCCCGCGTGTGGTGCCGTCGTGCGGTTTTACGTGGAGTGAGTGTTGCCGAGATGAGCTCTTGTCCGCCCATCGTCATTTTAAATAAACACTACCGTGCCGTGCCGCCCCGCGCCGAGCTCGCGATCCGAGTCGAGTGGAAGGGGAGCAGCGACCAGGGGGGAGGGGGGGGTAGCGAGGGTCAAGGGCAAGGCGGAGGAACGAGGGTCAAGGGCAAAGCGGGGAGCAGAGTGAAGCATGGGGGAGGGTAGAGAGTCCAGCGAGAGCTTGAAAAACTGGGGGGGGTTCTGGGATCCGGGGACATAAGGTGTGGGGGAGCAAAGGGAAGAGGGGGGCAGATGGCAGCGTGCCCGCCACCCGTCCAAGCGGAGACTCGAACGCAGCGGTGCGCTCAGGGGCCGGGGACGCACAGGAGTTGCGCGCTCTGGAGGCCGCGGGGACTCCGGGCGCCTTCCTCGGGCGCAGGAGTCATCCTCCCGACCTTGCTGAGCCGGATGCTCGGCAGCGGTGACTCGGGGCGGACTCTGACTCGGAGCCGCCAGGTCCGAGTGAGCATCCACCAGCCCGTGGCCCGCGCGACACGCCCACGGCCACGCGAGGCACCCCGCAAGTATGGCGGCGCGCCGGCCCGTGGCCCCGTGACTTTGGGGTCGCCGCCGCGCGTCGTCGCGGCGCTTGCAGGCGCCTCGACGGTGGCCCCTGAGTCCCGGGTGGTCTCGCCAAAACAAGGCTTGCACGCCGTGCCGACGAAGGGGCCGGACACGGCCGTGGTTGCGCGGACCATGTGGTCGAGCGCGCCGTTGTCTTGGGGCCCCCCCGGGAAGCATGCGTCCGTCAGAGCTCGCAGGGCCCTCAGGAAGCGACCGGCGGCCCCCTGGCCGGCGGAGGAGGCGTGGTCGTCGTCGCCACCGAGGCACGGGGACCCCAGGCGGTACCCATCGCGCTGGAGCCACTCGGGCCGGCGCCTCTTCGCCAGACGCTCCAGCAGGGCCGCCGTGTCCGCGCGTCCACCCAGCAAGGCCCACTCCTGGGCCCGCAGCCCGCGGCCGCTGTCCCGCACCTCCATGTCCGCGCCTGCGGTTGCGCGCAAACGTCCCCTTGACGTGAGCCGTGCAAACGGGGCCACTCGGAGTGTGGCCTCCTCCACCTCGTGCCCGGTCGCCTCCCCACATACGACAAAACCACCGTGCGACGCGAAACACTGTTCACTTAATTGGCTACAAGGTGATTGGCAGTACAACAAGTGTGTGGAATGCATCTGTGCAGTTCCTTGAGCGTTGTATGCGCGGTGGGGTTTCAACAGGGCCTCCGCTTAACTCCCATGAGTCAAACACACAATCGTGGCAGGGCCAACCATCCCGATGCAGCACCCTCCTGAAGGAGAGTCCTGAGACTCGTTGAGGCTTCCCTGGATCGTTCTTGTTATTGTTGGCTCTTGAAACGGTGGCTGTCACCCACGGGTGTTCACACTCAACTCCTCACACCAAGCTACCGTGGTGTGAGAAGGTGTGACTGGGAGCCTTGGGCATCTCCACTGAACCACAATAATCCATCCCACAAGTGTCGAAAGAATGCATTTTCAGAGTCAATTCTAGACCCGGTGAGTGGTGAGGAGTGAGAATGGACGAATGGTGAGGTTGCGAATGAGGGGTGAGTGATGAGGAACGACATTTAAGGTGTGAGGTGTTAACGAGTGAGGCTCGAGTGGTGAATAGGGGAGCCGCGAGGGGTGAGGTGGAAGCCGTCAGTAGTCATGAGGAGCTATGGGTGAAGGTTGCGGAATGAATTGAGGTGTGAGGAGCAGGTGAGGAGTGACGGGGTGAGGAGCGACGAGGAGTGACGGCGTGAGGAGCGGCGAGGCGGTGGCCGCACCTGCGAGCACGAGTTGGCGGGCGCACTGCAGGCGGCCCTGCACCGCGGCCTGCATGAGCGCGCTGAGGCCCAGCGCGTTGGGCACCTCCAGCGCGCCCCGCGCCACCACCGCCTCCACACAGAGCAGCTGGCGCGTGATGCCCACATCGCCTGGTGAGGGTGGGGGGTGAGACCTGGTGAGTGGTGAGTGCGGTGTGAGACCTGGTGAGTGTGATGTTTGTCTTACTGGGGGGTATCTGAGTCTTGGTGAGTGTTGAGTGCTGGTGAGTGTGGATGAGACCTGGTGAGTGTAGTTGAGACTTGGTGAGTGTGGATGAGACCTGGTGAGTGTGGGGGTGAGCGTGGCGTGCCGCGAGTGTTTTGATATTGGAGCAGTGAGCGGCTGTGGTGCTGTGGATGAGGTTTGTGGTGGCATGAGGGTTATCATGAGCAATGTTGGTGGCTTGTGCTGTGGCGGTGAGACGGGTGTCGAGGTATAATGCGGTGACGTTTGGTTACAGATCACTCTATTTAAGCAACATCAACATGCGTTTCGCTGACTTGTTTCGGCTCTGGCTACGCGAGAGAGAGTGAGCGACCATCACTCGCGTGTTTGTTTTATTGTAAATCCTGGGGAGCGGAGAAGCCTTCAGCGATGAGAGACCGCGACATTGTCAATTATCACCGCTCATCTTTCAATTCACCGTGAACCCCTTACCAATGCAACCGTAACCCACTTAAACCGAGCCACACGCCGTAGCCTCAGCCCATTTGGCACCGGCGCCCGAACGAGACCGAGGCAGATTCACAGCCACGCGTCGTTCCTAGCTCACAGCGCCGCCTGGCGGACGAGCCGGGGACATACTATAGACGATGATTGCCATTCACTTCCAATGTGGGTGCTCCTGGTCAACATCATGATCCATATTCGTTTTTATTGGGCTCAGCCGCGTGGTAGTTTTAATTAAAAAACGATTGCATTTAACCCCTCCACCACCCGTAAATATTGTCACGTCTACAGATGTTATTTATACGTGCCATGATGCATTTATCAAATTCTGACCGATAAATCTCACACTCACCGGTGTCTCAAGGCCTTTCATGACTGATGATTCCTAAAAACTATGAAACCGGAATACAACGTTTCGGTAAAAACTGTTTCACCTATCCCGTTGCCATCTCGATCCTCGTCGGTGAACCGCCGGCTCAAGTGAAGTCACTAAATTATCTTTGCGTTCGTTCAGACTCGTTGCTTTCATCTCGTCATAGTCGGTAGCGGCGTGGGCTCAGGTCGGCAGTGTCGAGCGGTGGTTATCACCCTGGGGGACGCTGACTCCTGGTGGTACGTGGCAATGTCCCAGGGGGTACGTGAGATGATTTATAAATGTGTTAAATGACATCATACATGAGAGTCATTGGTGAATAATCCCGTATGAATCTGCCAATATAAAATAACTACGATAAAATGTCCATCCATACGGTAACCTATAACGATATAAAATATCTTTATAAACTCACCGATCATAAACAATGCGGTTTCCAAGACTAACCAGCGAGCCGGAACAAATTACGTCACGCATGCAGAGCGTCCGTTGATTTTTTTTTTATATTCTCTCACAGTTACTCGCTGGTTAAGATACCTCACAAAATGGACAAGTGGTTAAAATATTGATGTTCATTGTTCATACATTTATTTGTCAGAACCATGTTGGGTCAGACGAGGGAGTACTCGGGGGGGACAGTAGCTGAAAAAGGTTGGTGTAGAGTATTTGGCTTCTGTAAATTTCCACGTGATAAGCCACTTCGTTGAGCTATAATTGGTGACCAGGTCGCTTCTGATAAAGAGCTATAAAGTTCAGTGGACCTTATCTGGTAAAATAAAAAGTGTAATAGTGCTATTTGCCATCACGCTTGATGATTGTCGTCCACTCAGAATCATCGCCAACTCAAACAAAACAAACTCTGTTGACGGATACTCACTCAACTCACGTTCATAATAAGGTCAAATGCTGCATGCAAGGCCCGATCTGGTGCTCCCAATCGCGCCTTCTGCTGTCCAGAAATCACATTTCCGTGAATTGTTGTTCTTATGTTACCTGCCTCTCTGGCCCTCTTGGGAGGTGGAGTGGGGGGGGGGTCTCGCAGGAAAGTCTAACTAATTCTCATGATGCTTTTTCATGAGGGTCCTGCCAAGATTTCACAGGAGGGAAAGCAGGGCGGGAGGGGGTGAGTGCCGACGGTTGCAATGTTTCTCCATAATAGAGGTTTTTAGGTTAAATCGCATGAATATAAATGTGTTGTTAAACCTGCCACCACCGACACCGCCAATTAGTAAGGTTTGTAAATGCTGTCGGTTTACTCTCCAACACCCTGTTGTGCTGAACTAGTCACTAATTGGCATGTTTTGTTTACGTGACAAACTTTACTTCACACGATGTAACCCAAAAAACCTCTATGGACATTGGTCGCAAAAGCCTACGTGTTATGTTTCTTCAAACTAAGTAATGCATTTGCAAGGTTTAAAATGTTAACCTTGACACCAGCACACAATGGCCTATACCTCTTCGACTTACGTCACGGGATCTTTGACGTCCACTGTGAAGCATATGCCAAGTAATTAAACAGCGAACGCTCTACCACTGGGCTATGTTACCACTCCAAGATGTTATCTGCCCGTCCGCTCCCCTTGGAGGGTCTTGCACACGTGGTGGGACGTTACCTGCCTGCACCGCCAGCATGAGCGCAGTGTTGCCCTCGTTGTCAGGAACTTGCACGTCAACCAGGGGACACTGCAGAAGCACAGACACGACTCCCGCGAAGCCGCAACAGCTCGCCACGGCCAGACCCGTCTGTGTGGACCGCGGGCACACGGGCACAAAGAAAACGATGCCACCTGTATTGTGGCGTAGCTATCTTCGATTGCACAGGCAGTGCAACTTCACCGGGGCCATTGGGAACCACTGCACTAGCCTTTGACTCCAGAGTGCTGGATCACAGGCACGGCGCTAAGCTGTGTGATTGTAGTGGCAGTGGTAGTGGTGCTCACTGCTGCTCACCCTGCCGTTGGCATCTGTCGCGTTCACGTCGCCCCACGTGGCACCCTGCCCCAGCAGCCAGCGCAGCGCCACGCAGTTGTTGCTCCCGCACGCGTTCAGGATGGCCGTCCTGCAGTCCCTGCCGCGCGATAGCGCGCACCTGAAGGGCTTCGTCTCACTCCCCTCCTCATCCGACGATGACGAATCTGATGATTGTAATGATTGTTCTGATGATGATGAGAGATTCGTGTGTCCGTCTGCCTGACTGTGTGAGGAGCAGTTGTCTGAATCTGGTCCTGTGCCAGGCTCCTTTCCATGATTTATCTCGATATTTGAGTTATGGCCACAGGGCTTCCCTCGCCCTGTTCTGACCTGAAAAGGCGCTCTCTGTGATGACATGGTGAAGACTCCAGATTGAGCCCAGGCATCTCAGTACATACCTCCAGTCAGATGCCCCGCGATTTCTTATCACATTCATCCGAGGGGAAACCTCTTCTCCCTGCCTGGGGAGTGGGGAAACGCTGGATGCTGTCAGGGAGGCTAGTGCAACTCGTAAGCAGATTTGTCCCCCGTTAATCTCTAGATAATGCGAGCTCAGCAGATCCTGACTTTATTGTCCCGCATTAGCAAGACCCGGCCCCTCACCATGAGCCGCGACCACCCTTGGCACGGGTGCAACACTTTCCACGTGTGACGCACGTGGCCATTGGGAGGTCACGTTTATGATTCTGGCGTGGAGTAAGCACAGCGGCCGGGATATATGTGCACACATGGGTGGTCCACATAGATTACTGCCCCTCCCTCCATCCATCCCATTCCATCACAATTTTCGTCATTCCATCCCTTCTCTCTCCCTTTACATTCCTCCCTACATCCCCCCAAACTTCCAAACTTCCAAACTTCCAAACTTCCAAACTTCCATACTTCCATACTTCCAAACTTCCATGCCTTACTTCTGCTGTCTTCATGGGAGAAGTTTGGGGGAGGCACTGGGGGGCAACGCCCTCCCCAAACTGGACACCTTCATGAATGTATTTTGAGTAGTTTACAATTAAGATTAAAATAAATTATATGCACCCGTGATTCCTAATGTGAGAGACAAAGCGAACCCCTGCGCTCTCCAAACTCCGCCTATGACTGTCTTCCATCCACCTCGCCTCACATCCCTTATTCTGTCTTCTATTCCTCCTGCTTCCATCCATAATTCTTCTTTCACTCTCCTTCCATTCCTCTCATCCATCCCTCCACCTCTTCACACTAATCCCAAATAAACAGGACGGGTTTACATAACATAATACACTGGGAGAATGAATGAGTATTAACTCATAAATCACGTTCGGCATTTATTGATGAAAAATAGCAAAACACTGATGATAAAGATTATATCACTTCTTGACTATCCGAGCAAGGCCGTGTCACCCTAACCTGCCACTCGAGCCCCGTCCATCACACGAGGTGTTGACAAAGAGAGAGAGAGAGAGCTCCTAGCCAGAGCATGGGGACCTGCATGGAGTGCCAAGAGCGTCTTGGGTGGACACCTGCCAGTGGCTCTACCGGGGAAACTGAGAGCGGTTCTGGAGGCGGAGGTGGTCCACGGTAGTGAATGGTCTTCGATTGGTCTTTGTGTAGGACGTGAGCACTGGAGTGGCCAGGCAGAAGCCAGGTTTCGGGGGTCAGGCGGGGGTTAGGCCAGGGAAGTCAGCCTGGTTCAGATTCCGCGGCATCACCAGTCCATCTTGCCTGTCTCTAAACAGACACACAGAAGATACGCAATATTCGTGCAGAAATGCAGCCTTATCTCATCGGTGCACGGTGCGTGCATAATGAGGCGCCACCACCTCACTCGCACATATTTCCTGCAGGGAATGTAAACACGCGGTTCGTCAGTATCTAGTGATGACAACATATTCATAGCCATGTTTTACTGTATGCGGTTGAAACGGATCTCTTGTTTTTTTAAAGTTATTACAAAGAATGCGCCCAGGAGCGGCGACGCAAGTGCACCGATACCATAGGCGAGGCAGAGCCAAGATGACTTTGTGCTCAAGTGAGCATTGAGCTATCGGTCCTCATCTCCTGTTAACAGACTTGCAGTGCCAGTCGTGAACATTCCACTCTGTATGTATGTTGAACTTCTTTTGCACCATACATAGCCGGCCATGCTAATCGGAAGTGATATGGTGGGGGGAGAGTCTGTCCGTAGATGAAAGGACTGTCCATGTATTGATCATAATGCATTAAATAACCAAACGTATTTAATCTAATATTAGCTCATACATTTTTTAAGTAATTCATTTGAAATATTAATAGACTGCATGATTTGTACAAAAATGGTACACACACTTCGGTCCCTATTGAACAATGTCGTGTATTACACACATTCCTTGTAGGAATGTCCCATATGTTCAAGCCTGAAGTCTGAATGCATTCACTAGAAGGCCCTGATTAATCAATGAGAGAGCGGGGCTCAGAGCATCAGTCACAAGCCTGTGGCCGGCAGAACCACCGGCACTGTGCAAGGCTGTGGGAAACGGTCCGCGGAACTGTTGCAGATGCTACGATTTAGAGTTTTCATTTATAAAATGATGCTATCGGTGCACTGTGGTTGACAGACATTTCTTGAGAGTTTACAGTGGTGCACGGATACAGAGAGGTTGGGAAACACAGGTTTAGAGCATTCATGTGACTTCACCATTGAATCACATGTATTCACGCTCACTCATGCCCCCTCCTCACTACTGGCCACAGTCCACTGTGTTTATAACCAGCTGCCTTGCCATAAAGGTATTCTGCTACTCGTGTATATTAACCAGCCTTTTCCCCACTACTATGCTACAGTCTCGACAATTGTTTATGTGCATGTCATGTATTCCTTAGGTGGAGTACTGTAGATTATATACACAGTGCTGTGTCGTGGTGGAAGGTCCTGTAGTTAACATAAACGTAATTTCTCTTAAATAACAGTAACAAAAAGGGAATAAATTACAGCCCCATTATCACCTCTGCTGGATGAAGCCCTGGGAGATGTTTGACTATAATTGACCACACTGATCGCTGGATTGGCAAAAGGAATGTCCAGGAACGATTCAAGTACCACTTGCCACTGATGGTTACTCGTGGCGGGGAAATCAAACTCGGGTTACCGAGTTGACAGCACAGTACTCTAACTGTGAGCCAAAACAGAATGAGGCGACAAGCCGGTGACTGTGAAGTTCCCCTCCTCGAACAGGAGCCGTGGTGTTGGCATGAGATGCGGTGGTGCCACACAGCCCGGGTGCACAGGGTACTGACGCCTGAGCCTGCAGGTAGAGCAGAACTGCATCGACGTGCGCACGCGGAATGTCCCCATCCACCTCGGCCAGGTACGAGTAGAGCTGCTCGAAGACTTTCACAGGCACACGCGCCGCTCCGCCCTCTGGGTCCGTGCTTAGCAGCTCGCACGCGTGCTGTAGGGCGCGAGCCAGCGTCTGGTTCATGCGCAAAAACGGTACGTGTCGTGCATTAACAGGAGTATGCGTGGCAGATTGACCAGCCAGCGACCGCGGCGGCCTGCGAGGCGTCTGCTCGGAGGGAACGCCAACGCGACGCTCAACTCCTCATGTATGCGGCTTGTGCCACCCCGTGGAGAGACTTACGCCTCCAAGAGAGCTGCAGGCCAGGGCGAAAAACTTGATCCATTCCACATTTGGCTCAAACGAGCCGAGGGCCAGCAGGCTGGAGAGTTGCTCGACGGGGAGGCACAGGGCCACCCACCGCTCCTCCAGAACCTCACGGGTCACCCACTCATTGCTGCCCATCTGCAAACGACACCCATCAACTCATGAAAACCTGGGTATGATGAGCCAGCTCTGGTGTGAGTGCACAGCAAGGTGACAGGTCCATGTAATTGAAGGCATGTTTCATTGCGGAATTTAAACTGTCACCATCACTTGATGTACCACACATGGCTCAGATGATTATTTTGTTTTATGCAGTTTGCTGAGCACAGGCCCAAAAAACCAGTCACAAACAGCACCATAGAAGATGTAAAAATATATATTTAACACGCTTCTGGTGTTGAGCAAAGTTATTATGATAATAGCTAGGGGAAAAGACGATGGGAGGGAATTCCAAAGTTGAGCAGTGAGAAGGAAAAAGCATGAAGAGAAGTGTTGTGACCTACAGTTATTTATGGTGACTGAACACAGTGTGGATGAGACAACACAGTCAGTCTGGTCGACCGAGTCCTTCACATAGGTGAAGGAATCAATTCGCAAAATTCATGGGAAGAGAAATCACAGTACTAGCGATAGAAGCGCGATAAGAGGCAACAGACCGCTGTGTAGAGGCTATGTGGAGCTCTGTGTGAACGTCTGTGTTGGACAATCCACCTGGGTGTGTAGGGTGCGCAGAAGGCCCGGGGTGAGGCCGGTGTCATCTCTCTGCGTAGCCACGGGCATCTCCAGACGCTCCTTCACAGGCAGTGGCTCCCCCCGCACCTTTGCATGGAAGTATCTGCACGGCAACAGGCCAGGTGGCTCTGAGGTAGAGCGAGCGGCTCTTAATCGGAAGGTTCCAGGTTCAATTCCAGATTCGGTGTTAACTTAGCCCATCATTCCTTCAGGGTATAATACAATGCGTTGAAGGGAGGCCAACAGTGGTTATTCCGTGGGTGTCCTCATCCCCTCATAGTAATATGGAATTTCTACCACTTGCTCGGGGCTTTATATAGAGGAGAGATGAGCACCTACTCAATGCTCATTTGAGCAGAAAATCACTGACTCTTGACCTGTGCAGCAGGGCACGCAGGCACATGAAATTGCGGGTGCCAAAAGTTAAGAGCGCAGGTGCAGTACGTATTCAGAAGAGATCTGTCGTCAATTATGAAAGGGGCTTGGAAGATACAATTGATTATATTTACAGAATAGGAAAATCCAGATTATATATAAAACAAAAACATGTCATGGCATTCCGTGCTCATTGAGTGATAAGTGTTATGAAGTGGTGTATGCCTAGTGATGCAGTGGTGTGTGTTCTGCTGTGTACATGGGTGGACAGAAGTAGTCCTTGAATGTATTTAGTGGGTATGGGGTAAGGTGGTGATTATCTTATTGCGATATGGACCCGTTACTCGAGTCGATTTATTGCCATGGCTAACACCAGATGCAAGTGATATATTAACTGGTGTATAGTGTAGTGGGGTGTGCTGTGGTGTTAAGAGAGGGGTGTACTGTATAGTGTGGTGGAGCATAGTGATATGTATACAGTACTATTCTTTGTGGGGAGCGGTAGTGTAGTGGTTAGTGCGCTGCACTACAAACCGGGCTGGCCAAGTTCGATTTCCACTCACGGCCAACACCAATAACAATTATCTAAACCAGTTCTGAGCCTTCCCAAGTTTGACTCGGCCTTAATGATGACTACCTGGTGCGGTGTGTAAGAATCAGCACTGGGGAGTCAAACGTGACTGGGCGTGGTGCTGGCCACCCATCTGCTCCTCTACCCCAACATTCTGTTTAAGGCTATACAGGGGATATTCTGTCTTTGTATAGTGCAGTGGTATATATGTAGATGACGAAGGTGTGTTTTGTGGTATGTAGAGATGACAGCTGCCGTACGCGGAGGCCCAGGTGAGCACGTCTCGTGGCTGCGTGCGGATGGCCGCCTTTGTGAACTGCTTGAGGATGTCAGGTAGCTCCGGGGGCACGTGGATCTGCTGCGCACAGTACATCTCCTCGGGAGGGGGCATGGTGGTCGCGTTCCTTCCTGTCTGCGTGAACACACGGATTATCACATTAATCAAATGTGCCACAGGCTCTGCATTCACTGCATGCACGACTGCAAAGCTGCGCCGCTCAGAGGTGTACAGGTTCGCAGCCTAAGGGAAGCAAGCGTGACAAGATCACATCAAGTTATGATGAAAATGTGTCCGATTACGTAGGGGCCCTCCCAACCTCGCTGCTCCAAATAACACTGGATTACTGGGACGATTATCCGTGCGCACAAGATCATCACTGGATGAACACACAGACACTGTGGAAACATGACCCTGGCAGTCCAGAGTTCACGACACTCTATCTAGTTAATTGTCGTGT